GGAGGAGGGCCTGTAAGGAGATAGTCTGGAAGGGAAGGGGCCGATTCTTTTCGGCTGCGTATTTTCAAATTCTAGCGCACTCAAGCTGGTTTCTCCATTCTTACCTACCCTACCTTTAACGACTATGATGTTATATTATTTTTGATATTGCTTACTGCTAACCAAATACCTGTTTTTAATATCACGTCCGGTTTCAATCACAGACAGGGCACACTTCTAAATGAACTGAATGCTTCGTGCCTCTGATCACTCACACTGATATTTGCCTGTTTACAAGCCGAGCAGAATAAGATCAATACATGCCCAGTCAAACCTAATTTATATGCAGCTTTAAACAAAATGGAGCCAGCAAGAAACTAATCAACATTGTCATTTAAAAGCTAATGGTATTGGAGAAACAGCACTGCTGTGTCGGTTGGACAAAGATAACCGTTAATGTAAATGTGTGTTGTTGTCCTTGACCTAGGGCTGCTCAATTAATCGCATTTTAATCGCAATTACGATTTTGGCTTGCAACGATTATGAAAACAACATAAACTAAATAAAACGATTTTTTATTTATGTTGAGCGGTAATCAACTGTTAAAAACATTTTTCTTCAATAAATGGATGTTTTCAAAGCAAATGGATAATCGTTTTTAATAATCATGATATCAATTATTGACCCAAATAATCGAGATTATGATTTTTGCCATAATCGAGCAGCCCTACCTACACCACGCTGCATTTTAAAAACAAAAAGTGCAGTTAAAAACATGTACATTATTTGTTGCCAGGCTATATTGAGCTATATGTAATTGCAGTAGGATATTTGAGAGATCAAAGCCTGACTAAATGTTTTATAAAGCCTTACCAAAACGAAAACACTCTTCCTCCCCTGTGATTTGGTTCTATAAGGAACCAGATCAGGTTGTAAATGAAGGTAAAGCCAGGCAATAATGGTGCAAATTAAAAAAAGCTTCTAATGCTGGCGTCCTGTTGACTCCACATTGTTGTTGTTGTTTACTGTACAGTCATTCCTTGTTGTCTTTTCTTCATTCAGGCTGGTACACACCCCCTAAGGAGGACGGCTAAAACACTCCTGCCTTTCCTGCACTGGGACCACATGTCTTTGTTTGTTTTCTCCTTGCGACCAATATATTTTGTTTTAATCCCGCAAACCATTTTTGTTCTGATCTCCAACCCAATTTCCTCATTCAGTGCCCACCCAGATACTAACACACACACACACACACACACACTGAGACTGCCAAGGCCACACAGGGGATAGGATAACACACACACACACACACACACACACACACACACACACACACACACACACACACACACACACACACACACACACACACACACACACACACACACACACACACACACACAAGTTAAATCCAAACTCATCAGCTACTCTCCTCCATATTTATCTCTCTGTACATCTGTGGTCTGATACAATCTCTTTCCATTGCGACATTCATTCCATACTCCTGGTGGACTAAATGTCGTGCTCACTCGGCCTTTGGGTGAGGTGTTGAGCATGCCACGGTCACCTGCTGGCTGAGAGTTGAAAGGTGCAGCGTGGTCTTTATCTGCCAGCAGAGTGTGAGACTGAGGGACACACACTGGATCCCTGACATGTTGCAGCGGTGGCTGCGAAGGACATTGAAATGCTGGTGGAAGAACCACTTCCCTTTCCCTCCATGGACGGCCTCTGTAATATTGTGCTCGTGTATTATCTTCGCAATGCCAAGATCCCTCCTTCTAGAATAACACGCGTCTGAGGCTCGCTTGCTTTCAAACTTCTTTATCCTTTTTAAAGCACGAAAACCCAGAGGTTGGGAGGAAGATAAAGAGACTTTAGCCGGCTGGGTGGGACATCCCATAATGACAAACAGCATCCCGCTTTGACCACTGTCTTCATCATCATCATCATCATCATCATCATCACAACCAGCAGCTTTCCGTGTCCCTGCAGGAGAGGTTGGAGCGCCGTCGCTTTGCAAAGCAAGGGCGCGTTTGGTTTGGATCACACAGTAATGTAGTCGATTTTAACTCCACGTGTAAACATGTACATTTGTATTTCTGCAAAAGGATTTAATTGTTTATAATGTAACCTTGTCTGGGTCTTTGACTGGGCAAAGACTGTATTACTATATACCCTTGACTATTAGCAGCAAGGGCATTGCAACTTCTCAAGACCCGTTTAGAATAAGAAAAAGTTGCTTCATGGATACTCTTGCAGAAGGAAACAAAAAGTACACCGTGATCTTATGTAAGCTTAATGACTACTGCAGTTTTGTTCTCTCTCTTCTTTTTGTTTTAAACTATTGATTTGTAATCCTCATGTTATTGGCAACATCGACAGGACCATTCCCCCTTATTTGATGGCCCCTCCCTTGTTACTACAACGGCCTAACAACAATGGCATGAACACACAGCTGTTGGTTTGGCTTCTCGTATCTAATCACTCAAACCAGATGAACCTCAGTAAGGCTATGCAGTGAAGACACAGTCTTGTGGAGTTTTGTTGTACTGGAGAAAATGAGTCTTAACAGTGTAGTCACCTGCTTTAGTTCTAGTAGCTGGTTCACATCCTGAGCACTTTGCCAATCCTACAGTCTGGAGAAAAACGTGACCTTTTGTCCTTCTGACTTTTCCTGGAACTCATGGCTGTTTTCTTTCTTCGTCTTTTTTTTTTTTTTAAATGCAGCCAGAGTTTTCAAATTCACAGCAATAGTCTCGACCGCATACCTTCTGGCTTCACCTGGGAACATCGACTGGACTCTGTTCCGTTTTCCAGAATATTTGTGTAGGTTTTGATAATTATTTGTTCCGATTTGCCACGGGAGGGACCCAGCTCTTCCCATTACCACCTCTCTGGTTACTATTCATAACCACTCTCAGCGCCGCTGTACCCCTCAGCGCGCTGGGTCTTTGATGTAATGTGAATAATATGCAGAAAACTGTGTGGAGCATTCCAAATAATGCAGTTACACGTTTGTTGTGGGTGTTCTATTGTGTGGTTACTTGCATTGTTTTAAGTATATTGTCCTGAAAACCAGCATAGAAAGCTTAGTTATGCTAATTCATGCGGTCATTCCTCAGTTGATTTAGAATTTCCTCAGTGACACTAACCCCAGTCACAACACCAATATTTTGGAAACAGGTAGAGATGGGTATGAAACATCGTATTCAGCACATGTCGGACGACTTGCAGGATATGAATAACGAGTGTCACTTCACCTCTTCAAGCAAAAAAAAAAAAATAGCCGGACACGAGTATGGATCATCGGCATGGTTGTTAGCTGTTGTGATGCCATCGGTAATGTACTAATCACTTCATCCTGGTCACTTTGTTGAGCCCACCCCTGCATTCTCTGGAGAAGCAAACTCAGGAATACATTCTGCACACTCGACTTTGCTAAGGATCGCTTCAGAATCTCGTCACGAAATGCAAGATTGAATGTGTCAATCTTTCCTTTGGGCCATTTTAAAACAACCAAGAGGCATCGCAGTGCTGTCGAATTGCACACACTTTCTGAATAAACGTTGAGGTATAATAATTATTAAGCAATTTTTTTGGAATGAGCAGGGTTTTCGCTCTCGCCCTCAGATTAACCTGCGCTTGACGAGGGGTTCACGACACATCGACCCTTGTCTCTTTGATATTGCTGTATTTTGCATGTCAATATATCAATGGGTGTTTTCCCCCCAAGCTACTGAAGGCAAAGAGTGGTGGGTTAGGGTGGTAATAAGACTAGATGTATCCGTTTTTTCATAATTGTTTACTTGTGGTTTCCTACATCAGTGCACAGGGGGGATTTATCCCTGTGTGCCGCTTACTGAACCAGGTCAGATACTCTGAGACACTCGGGCTTACGAGACATCCTGGCTGCTTGGATCACCTTTTTAAAGATGCCAGGATTCCCAACTAAAGTAGCAGATTTGTGTGCCATCTGAACAATTGTTAGCCCACATCTTGAACCTGACCTTTGGAATAATGGTGTACTCCGAGCCTGTAGTGCACTGAGTCTCTCAGCTTGTCTCACACCGACTCCTGTCGTCTGACTAACAGAAACCTTCTCTGCTTGGCGAGCCACATATTGGTCTGAGGTGTGAGTTAGCCTGATTCTGGGTTCTTTACCTTGCTTCATTAACTGCAGTGGCCGGGTTATAAAGTTATGCACTGTAAGCATGCTTTGGTTTGGTTCCATTTTTTTTTTTTTTCATTGCAAGGGTGATTTTGACCATGTAAAGTAATTTGTAAACTTGCATCAAGTTTATAAATAAAGAATTTTATGAAATATGTCTTTTATTTTGTTCTAATAAAAGTTGTTCCATATGTATGTATGTATCAGTAGGAAATGTGGAAGAGTCAATCTGAAATGTCTGATATGAAAATGTATCACCCGTAATCAGGAACAGTTAAACATTTAATGAGCTAGCTGGTACTAATACTTCTTGGGTCAAACTGGATCCTTTGTTGCAGTGAAATGCTACTCGTATGTGCGTTGCATCACCCACTATCCTACAATTAATTTACAGTAGAGCTAACGTAATGTTTTCATAAAAATAATGGGGAAAAAATGCTGTTTTCAGTCTCGAGTTTTGAGTTTCTTTGCTTTTGGCTGGTATATACAATACACTTAATAGGTTATTTAGACTCACACAGACTCTCCTACAGTTGTATAGATTAAACAATTAACGGAGATAATAATGAATCATTTAATTTAATCTGACTAAGTTGTGGAGCCCTATAACTGAGCTAGATGTCCACTTTCCGGGTAATGTATTCCTGGTGTTTCCCAGTAGATGGTGTTCTTTGCCAAACATGCAGGTGTTAGTTTTCCTCCAGAGCTGCAGTCAACACTCAGCAGGTCAGCAACCCTTGCCCTTTCAACATACATTACTCAAGCTCTTGTTGACTTAAACAGTGGGCTTTAAAGTGGCTCAAAGTATGCTATTGATTATCTAAGCAACACATTAAAGTGTTATGATTTAATGTACACTTTAATGCAATTAATTGATATCTCTTAATAGCGGTATACATGCATAATGTTAAACAACAGGAGATGGCTAAAACATACAGTACATCACATCTCACCACATAAAGCATGAGATGAGAAGTTACAGCCAAAGCTAGTACCGTTTAAACAGAGAGTTAACAGCAGGTTGCAGTTGGTAAAAATCTGATTTTGAAACTGCTTGTTTTGCTGGTGATTTCGTTGTTATACAAATAAATGTTTTCTTTGTTCATCGCTTACCAATTATGTTCTTGGATTTACACTGTCTCTCTTTGTGTGTGTTTCTGTGTGTACTAGAAATCCCCACTAGATGGTGGTGTAACTCCAGACTTGTTTGTTAGTCACTGGCGACTCCTGTCTGTGTGTAACATCAGTCAGTAGTTGATGCTCCATTATAAAACTCAACATGCTCTTACCATCTCTGTAGATCGTTTCCTTCAAGGTTGAATCTCTGAATGAAGGTCCTTCCATTGAGACAGTGGATTGCTATTGATGATACACAGTCTGATATGGACAGCTCATATTCTCTGTTTGTGTTTGAGTCAGATATTGTAATGGTGGGTTGGCGACACAGATGTCAGTATTATGATAAATAGCTAAATCAATTCTCATCAGGTCTTATGAGATCAGGAGGGCTGCAGTAGATAACAGTGTGACCCATTGAGTCTGCAATCGATTATGTTGTTGCAGCCTAGATAGTTATGGATATAGGAAATCAAACCAAGAGTGTCATTTTTCATGATATTGGGCATTTAATTCAAATCAAATTGCAGCTTTTAATGAGGAGAGAGAGAGAGAGAGGAATGGATCTCTGCCCTTCACTAACGAAAGACTGACTATTATTGCAGCACCTTATTTATTTTTATTAAGGTCACCTATTATACAAAATCCACTTTAAACATGTTTCCCCTCTGTGTAAAGAGTTTCGCTCACTTTTTGTCCTGATCCATTTATATAAAAACCTGTCTGAAAATCAGCTGATTAGATTTTGGCCACTTTGTCATAACGATTTTTTGTCTTGTGTAACCATTAGCCAAAAACCAACCAAGGTAACCCCCCACACACACACACACACACACACACACACACACACACACACACACACCTTATCACCTGAATCTCCTCCTCGAGCACCATTGTGTTCTTTGTAACCAACTATCTCTCGGAGGGGCTCCTTATTGTCATCTAAAGTAACAGAC